ATGGGTAAGATCTCAAGAGATGAAAACTTTATAGTCTTGATTCATTCAAGATACGTTTCTTGGCTGTTTACCTTTCATAAGCATGTATGCAACGTTCTAGTGAATTAAAAATGAATAAGAAAGATGATAGTCAAAGCTGACTATGTGACTTAAAATCTACATGACCTGCAAAGTAGTACTGCTACGTGGCTAGAAGGTAGAATATAGTGCTAGTTTTAGTAGAGATTAATCTTAACTCATTGAAATTAAAATGTTTGGTAAGACACTACAAATATGGAATTGAGGTCAATAATGGGTCGTTATAGGGGTCATTACTGCAGAGATCATTGGGGAAAGTAATTGAAACTAGCCTTTAAGAAAAAAACATATCTTGAAGGAAAAAACAGGATTAAAAAGAACTGGATGGGACTGGAAGGATAGCTCAGTGGTTAAGACCGCTGGCTGCTCTTGCAGAGGACTAGAGTTTGATTCCTAGCACCCACATGGCAGCTAACAACTGCCTATAACTCCACTTCCAGGATAATCCAATGCCCTCTTCTGACCTCCATGGGCATTGCACAACATGGGTGCATTTACATACATGCAGGCAATACCCTCATACACATAACATAAAAATGCTAAATTAAAAAAAACAATTGGACAAGAACTGTGCTTTAAGGAATTGTCCAATCGAGAGAAGCAAATTGAACACAGTGGAAACCATGAAAGGGAAGAGCTTCATGAGGAAGGTGTAGTTAGCAGAGCATGCAGGGAATAGGGTAAAAAAAAAGACAAATTTGACTGTTGAGACATGCTTGATAATCTTTGAGGATAAAGTTTTAGTAGATTAATAAGACAAATTATTACTGCAAAAGAGAGTGGGCTTCAGGACTACTTTCTGTAATATAGGTTCTTAATTGTGGCTTATTAACACTACATACTGACTTCCTGTCACTGAACTTGGCATCTAGCTCACAATCTTTTTTATAATCCTGCATGACTTTCACTCCTAATGCAGATAATTGTTTTGTTACTTCGTCTTTCCATGCAAAAATCTTTTCAGCCAGTTAAACTACATTCTGTTATGACCATCCTTTTCTGTCACCCTTGTTATCAGATATACTGACTACATCTGCAAATTATTGATGTCAGTATCCTTCTTTCTAAGCACCAGCTCCTTTATTTCTAACTTACCCTTTTAAATATGGCTGCCGATTTGGGGTGGTGGAGGTGGGGGCAGGCTGAGGATGAAACACAGAGCCCCTACATGTTCGACTGCTCTTGTGCACCATGGTGGTTATTTGACTTTATCTGGTCTGTAAGACCAATCATATCTTCATTTTCTCTCTATATTTTAGCCTTTTATTCATTTTTTTTATCCAATGTAGATTCTGTTTCATCATTTAAAAAGCACTTGCCAGTACTTTAAATTCTTTCAGTTCTCTTTGAAGTCACTTAGTCCTAGGTTAATTAAGTAGTATGCTTTCTCTCTGTTAATACCTAGTGAGAAAAGGAAAATCTCACCAGTGTGTGTTGGCACCAACATCATTTCAGCCATTGTCATTCTGAGCCATTAGAACTGCATGATGACAGTTTAATATTTTCTAAGATCAGCTTATTTCTCAGAGTGTTTTAAATTTTTGATTCTCCTCTTATTCCTCCCTATGTCTGTTTCTATTCTTAGTTGATGATGTCATACCCCTTTTCGTAAAAATTAAAGCCATTGAATAAAAAATTATAACTCCCTGATATCAAAACTATGAGCTCACGCACAGCTATACCTAACTCCCTCGTTTCAGTAGTGGCGACATCTTTCCAGCTTTTCTTAAGTTTCTATTCCTCCACCTGTCTTCTGGCTTCTATTTCCTCATTCTACCCTCTCTCTCCTTTAATTACCATTTCTTCAAAATCACAATCAAAGAGCAAAGTAATTTAAGGTATTGATTTACATGTGTTCCTGCTCAACTCTAAGAAAAAGAGCCCTGCTTTGACCCTATGTCTCGCTAGTTGCCAGTCATTTTTCTTCACAATTAAAGTTCTCCTTTGTCTATACTGTCTTTATATCTACACTTCAACAATTTGTTTCCTCACTAAACTACTCTTACTAAAACCATTAATGACTCTTCATCATTATTTCCAATGTACATTTTTAGTCTTAATCCTGCTTGACTCCCAGAAACTTTTAATTGTCTAATTTTACTCAGATCCTTCTTCCTTTGGCTTCCATTGCATCAGAAATAATGATTTTCTTTCTGTCATTTTAAGAACAAATGAAAGGCTCTGGGATATTTTAAGTGTAAAATGATTAGTGTATCAAATGAACAAAAAGGAAAGAATATATATGACTAAAGGGGGAAAAGTTCAGTTATAGAGCTACTGTTGTATGAGGCAGAGATGATTCTCGCTTGAACCAGAATGATGACGAGGCATTCAGAAAGAATAACAGATTCAGGGAATTTAGGCAGTATCAACAGGGCTTTTTAGTGGATTGGATATAGGGGTGAGCAAGCAGGATTTACATGCCTTGACACAGGCACCTAACATGAGATGCCCAGAAAGTTTGAGAAGTATGGGTGCGAAGAAATACTTTGGCCATGTTGAGTTTTGGGAGCTTACAAGATTCTGAGCGCAGTATCAAGGGAGAGGTTGGATGTCTTACATCCCAAAGAAGCTGCATATACAAATACTGGGATTATTTATGTGTAAGTAATCGCTGTCTAGGAAACTGTCTGCAGAAGAGTGAAAGAACTTCTAGTCTTCAGCTAGGATGAATTAGTAAAGACGATTGAACACCTTGAGATGGAAATATTTTAGAAAGGTAAACCCACAGCATTTTTGCACTCCTTTAAATACATTATTTATTTATCATGTTGTTTATTTATCATGTTAATTACCTGTCCATGTTCACATACATATTCTCAGTGGGAGAGCCAACAAACACTGTGTATGGGTTCAGATAGTAAATATTTTAGATGTTGAAAACCATGCAGTTATTGTTGCAGCCTAGCAGTCCTTGTATGATAACAAAACTTTTTTTTAGATACTACAATTTGAACCTTATAATTTTTATGGCATAAAATTCCCCTTTGAAGTTTTCTTTCTTTCTTTTTTTTTTTTTTTTCCTTTCATTGAAAATGTTGTGAACCATTTGTACCTGTGCATTGCACAAAACCAGAATGGGTTAGATTTAGCCTACAGGCTATAATTTATTGACTCTTATCCCCTGACTAAGCCCTATACTTGAACCTTAACTTAATACTTTTGTTTCTTTGTTTTGAGATTGGGTATTGCTGTGTTGCCCAGATTGGCCTTGAGCTGCCCCCCACCCCAGGTGGTAGGATTACAAGCACGTGTCTCCATGCCTGGCCACAATGAGTGCATTTTCACTTAATGAAGTAATGCTGAATAAATTTGTATCTAGTTTATAGTGTGCTTTGTCGGGAAGGCAGGGAGGATACCATTATGTTATTTGGGTTATAGTAAAGTAAAACTGAATTCCAGAACTCCTGGGGTACATAAAATTTTTGGTGTTGATTTTTATTCATACTTGAGAGTTTTAAAAAACATACTTGTAGGTAGTAAAACAGACTTTTGTACTTTTAAGATTACTGTTTGTCTTTACATTTTTCCTTTTTTTATTCTTCGCCCTCTAAGAACATACTGGGTCTGTGGAACATGGAGTACATAGTTACGTTGTTAGAATTTAGCATAGGAGACAGTCTTTGGGCACAAATGTGGCACAAAGGAAATTAGCTGGCATCATATAAATATGAAGGAAGGACAAAGATAGTTAAGATAGCTGGAGAATAGCTCTTAGAAGTATCACTTCTGCCGAGACTTAAGCTTTAAGTAGAGTTGCATAGAGAAGTAACCTATGTAGAGTGATGTAATAGCCCTGAATTCCTTGAGAGCACATATTTTAGAGGATCTGAAAGATGGTTTTAGGTATAAATAACTTATTAGGTCCACACTAGGTAATCCCCAAATAATAGATTATACAGAGATTAATGTATATTGGCTTTTTGTAAAGTTGGTAATTTGTGTTAGGATATAGGTGATGGGACTAGAGAGATGGCTCAGTGGTTAAGAGCACTGACTGCTCTTACAGAGGACCCAGGTTTGATTTCCAGCACCCACATAGCAGCTAACAACTGTCTGTAATTCCAGTTCCAGGGGATCCAACACCCTCTTCTGACCTCTGCGGGCATTGCACAACATGGGTGTATCTGCCTACATGCAAGCAATACACCCATACACATTAAATAAAAATAAAATGTTTTAATAAAAAAAAAAGTAGCTCATCAGAATGGAGATCAGAGTTGGCTAGGAACAACAAAAAAAAATATCTCCACTCTTATCCACCTTTATTAAAAGCTGTTCAACCAAAATTTCCATTGTAATATTTAGGATTGATTGATAGTAAACCCGTATGAGTAACTGCCATAACCAGGACTCAAATCTCACATATACTGAAACAATAACCAAAGAAGAAAATGATTGCTACATGAGTAACTCAGTCAAGTCTACAGTATAAAAATGTGGCAAACTGAGATATCGCAAACAGAAGGAAAAAGTTGGCAGTGGAATTAGAGTGGTTGTGAACAGAAGATAGAACAAATTTGAAGTGGGGAGGGAGTGAGGGAGTATTGTAAGTATAGTTGGAAAGAAAGTCCTGTTCAGTAAGAATGAGGGAAGAGAATAGGAAAGAATTCAAGGAAAAGGAGGAGGGAGAACACTAATAGTCTGAGAGGAGCCTTTTGTAATGGCATTGTATTATTTAGAGTGAACCTTAGAAACTTCTACTTTTCATTTTAAGAATGAATTCTAAGATCTCATTGCATACTTGTGAGATCTGAATCAAAGTGATTGTATATTTCTTCAAATCTACAGTATATTTACAAACTCAAAATGGCAAATTATATACTGTTATTTTAGTATTTTAAAATATTTGCAATATTTGCTTTAAAATAAAATGTATATTCCATGTAGTATACTGTATTTACTCAAAATCTTCTTTTAAGTGTTTCAGGCTGCATGTACCAAGTAGTTCAGACGATTGGCTCGGATGGAAAAAATCTTCTGCAGTTACTTCCAATTGCCAATTCTTCTGGAAATTTTGTCCCGATAGTTCAATCTCCAGTCATATCTGATGCTTTGAAAGGGAATACAGGAAAACCAGTTCAAGTTGCTTTTCAAACTCAGATTTCCAGCTCTTCCACAAGCACATCAGTTCAATTGCCCATTTTCCAGCCAGCCAGTTCTTCAAAATATTTTCTTACAAGAACAGTAGATAATTCAGAAAAAGGTAGAGGTACTTCTATGGGAAGTGAAAAGTTTGCATCATCAGTTTCGAAAGTTAAGAGTCATAGTGCAAAAATTGATGGACTCACCATGCAAACATTTGCTGTTCCTCCCTCAACACAAAATGATTCATCTTTTATTGTAGTCAATCCCCCAAGTGTTCCAATGACTATGAAGTCTCCAGTTTTGCCTTCTGGGCACCATTTACAGATACCAGCCCATGCTGAAGTGAAATCTGTACCTGCAACATCCTTGCCTCCTTCAGTTCAGCAAAAGATACTTGCAACTACAACCACAAGTACCTCAGGAACAGTTGAGTCCTCCCAAATACCGACAGTTATTTACGTATCTCCTGTAAATACAGTGAAAAACGTAGTTACCAAGACCTTTCAGAATATTTACCCAAAACCTGTTAAAGAAGTAGTAAAACCAGTGATAATAAATACCACACAAATTTCAACGAACGTTGCTTCAGAGACACAATTAAAACGTGGTCAGCATTCTCAAGCTGCTCCAGTGAAATGGATTTTTCAAGAGAATCTACAGCCTTGTGTTCCATCTCTTGTTCCTGTTAAGTCTTCAAATAATGTGGCTTCAAAGATTTTAAAAACTTTTGTAGATAGAAAAAATTTGGGAGCTAATGCTATAAATATGCCATTGAGTACTGTCAGTGCTAGCAGGGCACAGTCCACAAGTGTGCCTATTAAAGATAATGCTTTAGTAATGTTTAATGGGAAAGTCTATCTGTTGGCTAAAAAGGGAACAGATGTTCTACCATCACAAATTGACCAACAAAATTCTGTTTCTCTTGATACTCCACTAAGAAAAGATTCACCACAGATAGTAAGTTCAAGTCCAGTCACAGAGATATCCAGAGAGGTGGTAAATATTGTTTTGGCTAAAAGTAAATCTTTCCAGATGGAGACAAAATCACTTTCAAATTCCCAGCTTGCTTCCATGGCCAGTCTAAGGGCAGAGAAGAATAAGAGAGTCGAGAAACCATCTCTTTCTGCCACAAACCCACATACTATGAACCAATCCACTAACTACCTTAAACAGAGTAAGACTTTATTTACAAAGCCAATCTTTCCAGATGGATTTAGTACAGGACAGCATGCCCCCAGAAAAGGAAATGTCATCCAGAGCGTAGAGAAAATATGTTCCTCTGTTGATGCAACAACTGTTACTTCACAACAGTGTGTTTTCAGAGACCAAGAATCTAAGGTAATTTTCCCATGTCAGGGTATTCTTTTTATATATCTATGTGGAAAACATTTCTTAATTCTCAAAGTTGTCTATACCTCTCTCCCAAACACACACTCATCACACACATGCGTAATTGAGTGAAAGCTTTCACATGAATAAATATTTAAGGACTACAATTGGGAAAAATCTAAGGAGTATCTTTCTCTAGCATCATTTGGCGTTCCAAATCTCTGTAAGACAAAATCAGACAATCACAGAGTAACAAAGTTCAGAAGAGCTGGAGAAGAATAATATAACTTTAAACA